GGCCACTTTGACCTAGCTCCTTGTCTTATTCGAGGACCCACTCGGTAATGTGTACTGTAGTCTTCCACGCATTTTGGCTAACTCTGTAGCTTACTTTGAGTGTGTCCACGTTCGCACCATTAAGATATCGTGGGTTCTTACTTTTGCCAATCAAAACCAGTTTTTTTATTCGTGCCTGGCACTTGCGCAGCACAGCCGTACACAGTCTGGTGCATTCTCATGTTACGGACTTTGGAGTGCCTTCATTGTGAAGAAGTTTCGTTCGCTTCACATGCGAGATGTGTAGGCATTCGTGAATGATTGGTGGCAACGTTTCAGTTCGTGGTGAGTTCCAGGTGGGTCACATATTTCTTCAATAAACACTTAGAGCCCGTATGACACTATCAAACTTACTGATCGGCTATAAGATCACTCATCATTTCTGGTTCCATAGGCTAGTACATAACGGAACGAAGATGAACAATCTTGATGGCCCCCGACTTCTGTCATCCGAACACAATCAGTCGTATGAGCTCTTTACCGTCTTGTTTCTAAAAACAAATTCTTTGGGCCAAAAGCCTTCCCTGGTCTGCTGCCTTACACGGGCTTTTTGGGTGCATTGTTCAAAAGTCATGTTCTCCACAGCTTGATTACGGGCTACCAACAGTCTGCCACATACTTCTTGCTAACTTGGGGTCAGGTTTTTGCACCCTTTTGTTCCGGTTCTGGTCACGTTTTCCTGTACCTCAGTAACTGAAAAGCTCTCTGACCACACAGCACATGGACAGATAGTTGTACGAAATCACACTGTCTGTCTCCGCCTTCCTCAACGGAGGTACTGGCAAATGGCTCCACAAAACCATACTCTCTGGCACTGCCACGGAGATTGTGCAATTTAGACGTGAGATGTCGCTAACCAGTGAGTGGCTGGCGACTAATCGTTTCTTGGGTGGGTACTTGGCGGCGAGTTTAACGTCAGATTCATCAGCTTCGTAATTATTCCCAACTCTGACCTAGATACACGTAAGGAGTCTGGTCACTCATTTCATTGCGATATTGTATGTGCTCTTCAGGTACACTGCTGGTGCACTGTTCTAGTACAATCCCCATCACCTTCGGTTCTTTGGGTCATCTCATGTCTAGGGAGCAAATCCCTCACTACCTTCAGCTGAAGCTCAGATGGCGGCCTGCAACGAAACATGCGTCAGCTTTTCACTAGCCTTGCTGCCATTTGTTTACTGAATACTTTTGGGCCACAATCTTTGTGGTTCAGTGATATGCGTAACTGCGACACCGATTTCGCCAGTATGTCATTCAATGAGTGTTTTATGCTCATCGAATGTTTCAATTCCAGGAGCGCTGTGACAAGAATGGTTCTAACTAAAATTGCCCTTCGGTGATCTTCTAAGTTACTTTTATTTCGGTAACGCTCGCCCTATGGGATATCCGGGAGGACACGGATGGAACAGTGTTCATTTTTGAGTCAGTCGGTCGATAGTAGAACTGATTCTGTTTCACTGATGGAGTTCAACATACCGCTCAGAAATCTTGGCTCCCCGTAATGCACAGTGTTGGGCTGCCGCGTGACCCACGCTACGTGTACAGGTTTAATCGCAATACCGAATAGGTTACTGGTGACGTCCCACTGGTTGATGTCGTCCAACTGCCTGTCTCTACTTGACCTCAACTGATCCTGGAGCATTTGAGCACAGTACAATCAGCACAGTTGTTGTTTCTTAGTATCTTTGACATGCCACGGATAGTGCTTGACACACTCGATGGTGTACCGCCAGAAACCGGTGGTGCTTGCACCAGAATAACCACTTCGCACTTAAGCTTCCAATCCAAGGGATGTGTTGCTGATTTTAAATGTCTGTCCTTCTTGGCAGCAACCGCAACACATTCATATTGACTTGCTTTCTTGCTATACACTCAATCGAAATTGAACGAAGCCTTGCGTGCAATTACCCCGATCGAAATAAGAATTACATTGGTAGAACGTAAGCAGCTTGTGATATTAGAACAGCGGTTGATTTTCTGGGCCATTAGTGTCGTTCCCGGCTTATCCCTGTACCTGACTGTTAAAACCACTAGTTAAAACGGTGTGGAAACTGCATTAAGTGCGCGCACAGAAGCAGTGCTAATTGATGGAATCCCAATCAACAGCCGACTGCGCAGTTCGACTAGAAAACTGTTTACTATCATCCAGCCGCGAGACTACTAAGCGCTGCTTGTTCATTGTAGCGGCGTATGCTGCTATAGACCGCAGCCCAGACTCAGCTAGGGACGACTTCTGCCGTCGACTCTCTACCATTCTCCGTACAAAAATTGCACAAGCGTGGTGCTTACAAGAAACATAAACGTGTGGATAGGTAGGTTCCGACCTTCTGACATGAACTCAGTGGTTAACATGGCTATAGTACTCACAGGACGGATAACAACGATCGCCTGCTGCAGTTCCGTGCTGATCCCAGCTTTTTCTTCGGGTACTACTTATCGGCGCTTTTGGCACTAGCGAGTTACCTGGCGGTCCCCGTTGTCTGGATATTCCTAGATACAGGTTGACCACATCGCCATCAGTTGCCGTTGAGAAAACTACCTAACGGATTGCAAATCAGTTTGGAGAACCTTTCAGCCCTTATATGTTCTAACATTGCTTTGCGATTTATTGGCACCAAACAGCTTCACCGGAACGTGCTTCACGTATCCAAATCTGCCTATACTGACATTCTCATTGCTTCTCGGGGCGCGTCAGCTTTTAGTCCCAAGATCCCTCCACTCCTAAACGTAGAGACGCGTTGGACCCACGTCAGGTGTACTATGCACAAACATACCACTGTAATTTGCGATTTCTATAGGCACACCATCAGTCGATGAATTTTCACACACTGTTCATTTTGCAGAAGCCCAGTCGGTTAGATAGCCATCGAGCTGAACCATCCACTTTTGTCTAACAAGAACTTTTCGAATACGCTGATGCAGTGATCCACCAACACCGCACACTGCCAGCTTATGAAGAAGCACCTCTTGATTTACCTTGTCGAACGTGCAGGATTTCGGTGTTGCTCTCTCGCGATCCTTGCACTCCACAACGCGTTTTGTCCTTTATTAGGTGGAATTAACTTTAGCTGGGAGCGGAACTCGACCAATAATGGTTGGCGGCTATCACCGTGATCACTAGGTCATTGAGCTCCGCGAGCAGTGCTTGACACAGCGGTTAGAAGTTGATTTTCGGGTTCTGGAGCATCAGCCCTGTGTTGTGGATTGCGATATGTAGCCTCAATCGTGGCCTCGGTTGACTTTGAAGTCAGCTTCAGCCAATACGGTCACTGGGACCGTCACTGAAGTGGAGGGTTTCGGTGTGGCTCTCTCCCATCCCTGCACTCCACGACCGACGGTTTCGTTTTGGTTTAGACTGATGAGGTAGAGATAGCCGAGCTGGGATTGGAACTCGGCGCATAGTGCTTGGTAGCTCTCACCATGATCACTAGGCCATTGAGCTCCGCGAGTAGTGCTTGGCACAATGGTTGGAAGTGATTTTTTGGGTCCTGGATTGCGACAAGCAATCTCGTAACCGTGGTTGTCTTGGAAATCTGTATCTGCCAGTTCGATCACTGGGACCGTCACAGAAGTGTAGGATTTCGATGTTGCTCTCTCCCATCCAAATCACCTTGTCGAACGTTTTAGTTCCCCTTGCTTGTTGTCGGCAACCATACATGCCCCGTCACAAGCAGGTTGATATTGCATGAAACCGTGTTGTTCGTGCTTCAGGAACAAGTGTAGCACACTCTTCTTCACGATCTCGGCTATCTTGTCAAAAGTAGGCGTCAAACAAGTTAGTCTGTATTTGTCCATCCCTGGTTTACCACCTTGCGGAATCGACCTTCAGTTCACTTCACTTATATAACTATGATCCTGACACCGTAGCGCGATGGATCTAGCTGCCACGACTCATGTCGTCAGAATAGAAAATGAGGTTGATTGCAGCTAGACTACAAATATAATCGACCTTACCACCGAGCATTTCCAATCGCTTGACAACGAACCTTTGGACAGCGATCTTTTGCCATGATTTGCCTCACTTTCAACCCGCCCTCACCCACGTGGCGGCGTCTATTTATTTGATGTCTCAACGTCGTGATCTTAGTGTATCTTAGGTCCTCGATCACTTGACTCAAATGCTCGGAAAATCACGGGATTAAAGCGCATTTGGTCAGCCACGGTTGAGGTTGTAGCGTTATCCCGAGTCTCATGTGATTTGGCGAGTCACTGCGATCGAACAACTTTGTGCTCAGGCCTTCACGCAATGAGACAACACAGGCAAGCGGTTCGTGTCAGCTGAAACTGTCTAAATCTTCTGAGATGAGTAGCTTTGTTATCTATTAATTTATGGAGAGAGATCTTAACGGGTCAGATATTTTTTGCGACTTCATGTGATTCGCCACAACGTCACTTGTTCTAGTTATATGAGCTTTCTATTATCGCGTCCTTCGTCATTTTCGGGTGATCCCCATGCTGGGAAATTTCTCTCGGTGTGATTTTTTAGATTGTTAGACCGAGGTATAGAGAACTCGCTGCTGTACTCTAACGTATGTACAGTTTTCAAAACCCAAAATACAACCTTGATGGTTTCGTTTTTGATTTTGATTTTCAATCTCGGTGTTTCTTGCCATACCACACATGAGTATCCCACGCTCGTAGAATTTAGTAATTCTACTCTTATGTATCTTCGTGCAGCTTGTTCTTCATTGTGTTATTTTCGTGTGTTCACACAAAGCTAACTCACAAAAAGCAATTTCTCAGCTCATAAACTCCCCGTTGTTTTTGCTACCTTTTGTTTGCGTCGTTTGGAGAAACACATCATTCGTGCGTGCGTGTGTAGCTTGTCAGAATTACTGTTGTCCCGAATCGGCATTTATCCGCAGAGTGCATGCCCATCATGCTTTATTTCTATCTTTTGTCACCTTATGTACTCACTATGTCCCGTACTCACAACCATAACTAAATGCTTTTGTTGCCAGGTCGTCGTGGAGCGTCATCGGAATTCTCAGGTGGCTGACATCGACAAGCACAAATTTTTAGTCCCTAACGATCTCACTGTCGCGCAGTTTCTTTGGATAATCCGCAAACGCATTTCGGTTTCGGAGGATAAAGCCTTGTTTTTATTTGTGGGTAATACCGTCCCACAATCTAGGTGAGTGCATCGTGATTTCCTTTTATCAAACAAATAATGTTTTCAACTGGCGTATGTTACCCACCCTACCGGTGTACCGCTTCAAATACCTGATTTAACGCATCTTTGAAATTCGCAGTCACTGCTAATGTGTTAAAAGCTGTGCTGCAAGTTGAACATACATATATGGAGGAAACTATGTGTAATTGCAATTTTAACAGCTTCTCGTTCAGCGTACTTTCTTTTTGTCGGCAAGCGAATGTTCTATGCACAGTGAAACAATATTCTACTATAGCGAAGTATGAAAGAACGAGCTTTAGTCAGTGGGTGTGTTAAAAAACAGCTAATAGCGAAGAACCCCTCCATGAATCACATCAAAATCTTCTGCTTGTGAGTATCTTACGACCTTCGGTCTAACAGCTTCCCAATTCAAGCTGGTAATCTCTGACTTTCGGACGCTGATGCGAATCGCATCACAAGTAGCCTTTGCTCGCACGCTTGAGACTCTTGCCATCGATGTCTTCTGCCTCGCGGAAACTCGATTACAGGACCCTAGCACGATGCTACAACTGGTTTCATCATCTGCGAGTTTCGCTCGCATTTTCACACTACGCTTATCTGGAGACACAACCACCAAAACCGCTGGTCTTGCCGGCGTGGTGATTGCGTCGAGCACACGTACCGACATCGCGCTACCACACTGGAATCCTATCGACAGTCGACTTTGCGCGATCCGACTTGAAACCTCAACACTACTGTCCAGCCGCGGAGCCAGCAGATGTTGCTTATTCACTATAGCAGCGTACACTCCCACAGAGCGCAGCCCGGAGTCATTTAAAGACGAGATCTACCGTCAACTCTCCAGTCTTCTCCGAAAATGCACCGTAACGACATCGTGGTGCTTTCGCGGGACTTAAACGCTCACGTCGGTCGACTTTTGGTTGACCAGCATGAGCTCGGTGGTCAACATGGCCATAGTACTTGCAGAGCAGACAACGGCGATCACCTCCTTCACGTTTGCGCTGGTCACGGCCTCTTCCTGTCGAGTACTAGCTTTCGACGATTCTGGCGCCAGCCGGCCACCTGGAGGCCCCATCACTTGGCTGGTCGCGGATACAGGTTGACCAAAGCACCATCATTTATCGCTAGCAGGGCTGCATACACAACTGCACATCAATCTGGAGTATTAGTCGGCCGGTGGCCGAGTGGTCTGCACGTTTGCTTTGCAACCATAAGGTCACCTGTTCGAATCCGCCTAGGGGTGGGCGTCTTCGCGGTATACTCAGCCCGCGCGCGACTGGTGGTGGTTGCGCGGCATCGAAGCGCCGTTATGGCGTACAGCTGACACATTATTATTATTATTATTATTATTATTATTATTATTATTATTATTATTATTAATCTGGAGTATTTACTTCACTTCGGATCACGCGCTTGTCTGTGCCAAGGTCAATCTACCTTTTGGTGGCTACCAACAGCCGCCAGTAGCGACGTGACGTGACTAAGCTTTCTGCCTTAAGCGTTCTCAGCGCCTTTCAGGTGCGTGTGTTTCGAATCTAAAGAGCGCCCCGCGCTTATACGTTGAAACGCACTGCACACACATCCGCAGTGCAATACACAACTCGGCAACCCTGGTCTGTGATTTCACCAGTAGTCCTGCCAACCACGGGATCTTTGCACAATCTCTTCGGCCTCTCGAAGCTCCTCGAGCAATTACTGCCGGCGTTGGTTACCATTCATTGCGAAGCACCATCAACCCTCTCCTGGAGGATCGCGAGCCTGGTGGACACAGCAACCATTGGGATAGAGCAAGCGGCCGCCTCGGAGAATTTCTAAAAAAATTTCTACCTGTTCCGATCTACTGACGGCAAAAGGCTGACTGTAAGCGATGTTTCGTACAAAACCGTTGGCGAGCGACTCCACTGCCAACAACGTCGACTTATGCGTTGCGCTGAGCACTTTGATCAGCAGTACAACTGGCAAACAGCACCGACGATCCTTCTTTCGGGAACCCGTAGTGCTTCTCCTGGTGTGTAGACGGTTCACCAGCATCTGAGACTGTTGCTCATGTGGTTCGTCTTCTAAAGCGCTACAAACCACCCAGCGCAGACGATCTCCCTCCGGCTTTTTCCAGAGATGGTAATCCATCACTTATTCGGGACTTAACCTCCCTCCAATAGGTTTGGACCAACGAAGCAATTTCGTTTGATTGGAGTCCAGTGGATATCGTGCCCGTCTTCAAGATGGGTGCGTAAACAGAATGCGCTAAACACAAAGACCTAGTCTCATCTGCGTTGTATCCAAACTGCTTGCCGCTTTGCTTTTAACTCATTAACTGCCATGATCCCCCATTGGGGCTTACATACTTTAATTCCCCTAATAACGCCATCTGTCGTTCACGGAGAAAACTAGGATGTTCACTTCATACGCGAGATGTTGTCTGTAGCAGGGAACCAAGTGATCACATGCGTGCTCTGTACTAAGCACACAAGCTCATTTTTTCTCTCCATCCACTTCTTTTCAAAGGAAAATTGGCAGTTAATGGATTGAGAAGGCTCAGCCTGGTGCGCGAACAGTGCATACACGAATAGAAAACTGGGTTTCTGTTGCAGGATCGCCAAGTAACCGTGTAAAAATGCGCCACAAGCTCTAGTGCGTGGGCTGCGCCAAGAAGAGCTCAATTCCTTCCCACCATCTAGCAGGATTCAGCCACTCCGAGTCGGGACGCAACAGTTAAAGCTAACCATGTTCTTTCGTAAACCACGCGCCCTACTTGGTGATTCATTTCACTACATAATGAATTTTCGTGACAACTGTGATTCGGCCTTTGTGGGTTGTAATAGGACTCTCAGAAGTCCACTTCGTCTTGTCTAATCTCTTGTGGGTGATTTGGACTCACATGGTCACGTGATCGTTTGCGTCGTTTTAGCCGGTTGCTGAGGCTGCATGTCATATAAGTCATGCAGGTAAATGATTAGGAATCAGACTAACTCAGTCACACTTCTCTTCGGAAGTTAGTGAGAGGTCATGAGAGATAATAGATTTACAAGTTGTAACCTCAGCTCGATTTTTGTATATCACGAGCGCCGCGCCTTGTCTGTGGCGGCAATAGGACACCGCCCTGGGGCTCAATGGTTTACTACCGCCCGTCTCAAACCAGACAGCCCTTAGTTAAATTAGTTCAGACCCATCAACTCTCACTTGCGACTGGACTCTTTCGCGGGTACACAGCATACTACGGTCGAAAGTACAAGTGAATCGCTTTACATCTTCGGAGTCTGTATGTGACATCTCACACAGATCCCATTAGGTCTGCAATCACACTTTGTCGAATAGCCCCCTCGGAGAGTCAAAAAATAGTCTGAGCGACGATCAAAGTCTTATTGAAAAATCAGAGCATCTTTTTTACTGTACACAAAAGGCTAATGGTTGTTTGCCGACATTCGCCGCAACAACTTTCGTGTTACTTTGCCTTCATTGGTCCCGTTGGTTCCGTTAGTTTCTGCCCCGTCTTCATTTATTCGTCTTGAACCACGGCTGAGTACGGCAGCTCCACTGTGTATGTCTAGTCTGTCGTTCCTACCTCTTCTGGGTGTGTCCCGGCTGAACCGATCCGCCAGTAAGCCAACTGCAATTCTCTGGTCGATGCGTGTACCTGATTGCCCATTTCGCCATATGGTTCTAACTGCCTTACACTCCACTGCTATCCGGTGTCATACTCGCCTGACTCACAGTCACAGTTATGATTGGCCCGCATGGCTAGGGCCGGCTCCTTGGCTTTGCTCAAGCGACTAGCTATTACCACACAATACAGAGCTGGACTTGCTCCACACTGTCTTTTGGGTCAGGCTATTTGAACCAAAGGCTCCGAATGGAGTCCTTCAAGCGAACCACCGTGTACTCCACTGCCTTGTAGGTCAAGCTGTCGACTCAAAAGCTAGAGGTAGGGCATCTAAAGCAAAACTCTTCTCTCGGAATAAGCGGCATCTTGACCCCATCGACAATACTATCTCTTCTCCTCCCAACTACTTTCATCCCCGTGTGCTGAACAAGAGACTGCCGCTGACCTCACAGCTGCTACCATAGATATATGTCACTCGTTTCTCAAACCAACAGTCCAATTTCCGATCGGTTCGGATGACGTCCGCACTCTGAATAAGATCAGGCAACAGGCAGCAATAACCCTAACTGTTCGCTTTATTGGTATTCCTGTGTGCTGTTTCTCCGAAAGAACGCATTCAGAAAAACAGCATCGTGATGAATCCTTGACTCTTGTTCCGATTCTGCCGACAATGACTGCACTCTTCGCGTCTCTGATGATGATGCCCAGTCGACGGCTCAAAATATTTGCAATATTGGTAACGCCCTCAGCAAACATCCTGAAGGCAATCCACTCGACTGAATAACAGTGAACAGCCGCATTTGGGTTAATATCCACCGTCAGAAAACAAAATGTCTATTCATCGCGTCCGTGTGTACCCCTACTAACTGCAGTTCGGATAGTATCAAAGATGAGTTATATCGTGAACTCTAATCCCTTCTTCGCATTGCTAAAAATACCGTTATCTTGATTGTTTACGGTGACAGGAATGTCCAAGTGAGTCGCATTTCGGATTCTGAACAACACTTGGGAGGCCGCTTCAGGGTCGATGTGCACTGAACAGACAGGGATGATCGATTCCTGCAACTGTGTGCCGACCACAACATTTATCTTAGCAACACTGCTGTCCAGCATACACGTTCACGTCGTGTCCTCTATGACCTGGATCCAAACTGACCATATTGCCATCAGCTACAGATGACGCAGGTGCCTGGATTCAGACAATTCTCTGATGCCTGCATGCCGTGCACTCACTCTTCCCGCTTCAAAGAAGCGCCTAATTTCCAACCCCTTCTCACTTGTAAGTTGAACTCGCGGTCCGCATTTTAGTAATGCCGTGACGTGCTTATACACTAGTTGTCGTTGGCGAATGTAATTGGTGAGCTGATGCTGACTGGAATCGTATCAACTATGCCATGTG